CGAAAGCACTGGGCGCGGTTGTCACTGCGATCTGGGAGTGGACGCCGGGGTAATTCATGGAAGAGTGCAGGCCTGGGGAGCACAACCGACCTGGCGCGCCACAGCCAAGCCACGGGTGGGGGGAGCTTCAGCCGTGTAGTTGCCCTCTATACAACAAGGAAAAAAGAAAGGAACAACGTTGTGATGATCAGGTGCATTGATTTTACACACCATCAATATCATGGTCAGGTGTATCCAGCGGAGTCGGGAAGCATGCATGCCAGTGAACCGGGAGCCCATGAATATTTGGCTCACCTTGCCAACAGGGGTCGGCATAAATGGCTTGCCGTTGGACTTCGCCAAAGGCAATCTGCCAAGGGGAATGGTCTGGGCCACAGGCTATGGTGATGAAACTTTGGACGAGGTCAGGATAGGAAGCAGCCCATTCAAGGGTTTGCATGCCACCCAAGGAGCCACCCACGACGCAGGGAATGGCTGTCACATGCAGAACTTCGGTCAGCAGCCGCGCATGCAGGTGAACCGTGTCTCGGACGGTGACGTTGGGAAAGCGATGGCGATAGGGTCGATGGTTGGGGTCGCGAGGATGCGGTGAAGCTGGGCCGGTGGTACCATAACACGAGCCGAGGATATTGGCGCACACAATAAAATAGCGGTCAGTGTCAAAGGCGCGGGCGGGCCCCAGGAGCCCTCCCCACCAGGTGTGGAGATTAGCATTGCCCGTCAGGGCGTGGCAAACAACCAGGACGTTATCTCGAGCGGCGTTGAGGGTGCCATAGGTGCTGTAGTCTACATGCACCTGCTCGAGGACCTGTCCATTCTCGAGTTTGAAGCTGTCGAAAATGTGTTGATGGGCACCCGTGGTCATTTCACCGTACTCGTCGTCCGTGTGGGCAGCGGGAGCTGAGGCCGGTGGCAGCACGTGGCTTGCTTCTCCTGCGACCGGCTTGTTCAGCGCCGCACCCAGCGCCACGGCAGGGGCACCAGCATCGACAGGCATCTTGTGCTGGTCGTCGCCCTTTGTTTTGTTGATATTGATGTTGATGGATGTTGATGAGCGTCTGCGGGCGCCCAAACGCGCAAAGGCGGTGGCTCGTAGATTGTTGAGGTCTCGGGCGATAGACTTGATGTTCTTTGAAGCAGGACGTGGTCGAGGCAGGCGTGTTAAACTGTCATCTGTGCCTGCAGCGCGCGGTTCAGCAAGGCAGTGCAAGGAGTTGTGACGCGACACGTGCGTAAATCAACCATCCCAGCAACGCCCATCCAGGCCGCCCCTCCACCGTGACCAATGCAACACCCCCCATCCCCAAAAAAAACAAAATATTGGATTGCTTCATCGTCACCACATGGCTTCCTACCTCTGCCACGCTGCCGTCTTGCCCGACTGGCTGCCAAACGCGCGCGCCCTGAATCCGATCGATGTGCTCGAAAAAATCACCAATGATGATGTAAACGAAACGAGTCCGATGATCCTCTTCATCAAATACATGACCTTCTACAATAACTCTCTATTTCACTTCAATTAATACACCTTTAAATCACTTATATTACCTTATAGTTCAAGAAAACCTTCTTTAACTGTAGATTATGGATCAAAATATATTGACCTTACTACGGTAACGATTAGCATTGGCACAAAAACTCACGGTTCTCCAAAAGCTCCAAATGTGTGCAAAACAAACAAACAAACAACAACTACAAAAACTATTTTACTTTTTTTCTCTTCGAAAATTTTTGAAAATTTCGCGATGAGCGCCAGCGCAATTTTTTTTCTGTGTGTGTGTGTGTGTGTGTGTGTGTGTGTGTGTGTGTGTGTGTGTGTGTGTGTGTGTGTGTGTGTGTCGCAAAGCACGGTATCGACACTTGAGATGATATGAAAACGGTATCAAGCAGTTGCGTGTGGAAAAGTGTTGGCGGTCGATTTGGTGAAAACAGCTTAGTGGTCGGCATCAAAGTGGCTTTGAAGGGCCTGAGCAAGCGAGGTGCGCAGGGGTTGCAGATCTGGCCGATTGATTTCGTTCTCCGTTTCAAAACGATCAAAATCGGTTCCGTCATCCTGCAACGAGGGGGAAGCAGCGGTGGCAGGGTGAGGTGTTACCACACGCAAAGACCTTGTGCGGTGACGGTGGTCAGCGAAGCCAATCTCGCTTACGTCAAGATGCGGATAGAGTTCTTCGCCAACGACGTCCTCCCAAACGGGAAGCTGAGTTTGATTATCCCATCTAACCCACCGAACGTAACGATAGCCGTCATCGCGGACAGCATAGCCCATGAATCCAATCTCCTCCCGAGTGCACGTGGTGCAAACGTCAAAGGGGCGGTCATTCTTGTCCAAGCGCTTGGCAAACTGCGAAAACGCATATGCATTCGGGCCGCTGCCAGCAGAGGGGGGACTGTCAAAGACGCTTGCCAGACTCTGGCCTTGTACTCCTGGCTCGGGTTCGGAAGCATTGACAAGCGACGCCACCGTCCGATACATGTCAACGGCCATGGTCAAGGCCGACGTCTTCTGCCCCACTGACGCCGGCTTCCACGGCGCGCGGATCATCATGGGCACTCGCGTCCCGCGCTCATAATTGGTCACTGCGCCGTCGCAAGGAGCCGTTCAGAGTCAAAGGCGCCCAAGGATGAGAACAGCAATGTTTTGAGTATGCCGAAAAGATTCGATGAGCACAGGCGTTGATTCACTCACTCTTCTTCCACAAATTCGTTTCGCCAAGTTGCCTAACCAGTGCCACAAGAGTTGATAAGAATGAATCTGCCGTGAAAGAAGCCGGCTTCGGGCGCGTGGAGACTATACACACCAGCCATGGTCGCCCCAAAATGCGACAAGAGTATCGTTGTCGAGTTGCAGGGCCTCAAGCCGGTTCAACAACTCGCCCACCAAGCTGTCGGTATACGAGACGGCAGCACTGCGTCGGCATCGAATTGAATGCGGTTTGCCAGATGAGTGGTGCACCTCAAGCACCAGCGACTATCACAGACGGGACCGATCGGCCGTACTAGTAGGCTTTGCGAAAATGGCGCGTCTGATCTGCGCTGGTGGGAAGGGCATATGTATTATCGCCTAACCCCGTGTGCCAAGCCACCTCTGGGGCACCCACAGTTGTGTTGGGAAATCTTGGCGGTGGGAGATCGATGGCGTCTGGATACATGTTCCAGAACGTGTGGGGCATGGCAAAGGGCAGATGGGGCCTGCGGATGCAAGGCAACCGGCGAGTTAGTGGTTCATCCTGTTTTGTCTGCTAAAAACCTGTGCACTGGCTGGCTGACTGGCAGAATTAAGTTTGATCGGTGCACCCGAGCGTGCGTGGGCGCACCGATGAAATCCGGCGGCCACGAAGAAAGGCTGATCTTGATTGGCAGCCATCTATATGCAGCATGTTTCGTCAATTGCGCATGGTAGATGAGCACAGGCATCGAGGTGAGTGAGAAATCGAGGAAAGGGTGTGCCTACGTCAAGGTGCTGAAGACTGGCGTTGAGGATCAGGCGGTCCCAAAGCGGCAGAGTCAGCTTGCTTTCATTGTAGACGCACCAATTGCCCGTGCCTTGTTGCACAATGGCAGCCTTATCTTCGCAGCCAGTGGTGGCATTGGGACAGGTCACGTAAGGCGAGATCATGGAAGCCGGATCACACTGTCCCGGGCTGACATAAGGCATCGATTCGCTCCACGATTGTGGTGTGTCAAACGCCGGTGGGAATCCGACGTGGTACCTGATGCCAGGAGAGGAGAAGGAGCAGTGGTTACAGCTGAAGGCTTTGAAGGCGAGGTTCAAAGCACACCACTCCCAGAGAAGGAAGATAAAGAGGGGAGGATATCGGGCCTGGAGAGGACATACGTCTTGCCAGCACCAAGCACTAGGTAGCCGTTGTTCTTGAAATGCTGTGGGAAGCTGGTCCAGTTGGCACCCACCTCTGGCTCGCTGCAGGACCGAGAAAGTGATGCGTGGTGCAAGCTTGGTCAGGGTCGGATGGCAGTGGACAAGCAGGAAGGACCAAGCTATATGGGCAGGTGAAAACGAACCGAAAGTGATCGATAAAGTTGAACACGCGAGTTCGATCCGGAACGCGACCCGTCATGAACGAGTTTCGGCTTGGGCTGCGTGGCGTTGTCAGCCGTCGGGAGAGACCATGGGTTCAGTTGTCCAGACGAGAGTTTAAACGGCCAATCCACAGCAAACGACCGCCCAAGGAAGGGGCTTTGGAAGCGGTGGCGAGGGACGAGCGGGCGAGGGTGCCGGGACTTTGGCCCACCTGCAGAAGCTATACTGGACATAGGCACGGTTGAAGAGAAGGGAGGAACTGGCTAGGCGATCAAAGTTTGGGGTTGCATAAACGACTGGCCGTAGCACTTCATTTGTGGCCGCAAATCATCCACCTGATCGCCCGCGAACAGCGCCCGGGTGATGGTTAGAATCGTGGTGATTGTGGGAGTTCCTTGAACGTACGGGATCAAAGCGCCTGACCAGGATGAGCAGGACGTTCTTTTGGTGCGTGTTGTCTGGGCGAGCCAGGGCAGACTGCGAGCATGTGTCCCACACCACCCACATGACGAGAACTAGCGCAATGCGCGGTGTGGATGCGCGGCAAGAAGTCGCCATCATGGCTGTTTCGTGATGCCTGTCTGCCAACAGCCAACAACGCTGTAAGCTGTAGCGCTTGACTCGTCTCTGATCTTGAGAAGACGTCGTTGCGTAAGATCTTTGTCCAATACCCTGCTGCCTCTCCACCAGTCCGCTGTCAATCGCCCAAAACCCTTCCCATCCATCACCCTCCCCGTCCCCCTCCCCCTCCTCCTAGAGACCTCAAGATCGATCGCAGGGCCCGGAGACCTGAAGATCGATCGCGGGGCCTGGAGACCTGAAGATCGATCGCAAGGGCCGGAGACATGAAGATCGATCGCGGGGCCCGGAGACCTCAGATCGCAAGGCCCGGAGACCTGAAGATCGATCGCAGGGCTCCAGCAGGTTACCGGTGAACGGTCAAAATGTCTGACAAATAAAAGATATGGTCACTTGATTCGCTGACTGGTCCATTTTGCATGACAACGCTTCAGTGCTAGCGCAAGAGAGAGGAAGAGCGTAGGCAGATCAACGCAGAGGTATCAGCGGTTAAGAATGATAACCAGAGATAGAGGCAAAGTGAGAAGAAAACCATCCAGGAAAACAATAAGCCTACAGAGATGAAGCGAGATGGACATCATCAGCCAGAGATGGAGACCCAGCGCAGCGCAGCTTCAGAGAGACAAGACTTCATCTATGATTGAAGAACAAGTCACTCTCTGCATGCCCATTTCAAAGATTTTTTTCAGGGCACGCGATCTCAGGGAGGGTCAACCGCGTCGTGGGACGTCCATCGCCCCCTCTCTTGGCAGGTGGCTGTGCTTGGTGTGTGGCAGGGCTGGAACAGGACGTGAGGCGTCGGCTGTGGGCGTGGGGAAGGGGCGATTTGGCGTTGCTTTGTTGATGATTGGTCAGGTGGTGCGAGGTGGCGCGCGTTGCAAGTCCTGCTGTTGTGGCAGTGAAGCACCACCCCCTTGCCCCGCGTGCACGGTTAGGACGGGGCGTGCAAGCAGGGCAGGCGCCAGGGGCGGGCCGCGGGGCACCCCACAGGGTATGAATATCAACCAGCTGCCATGCGGGAGCTCAACCTCTTGACCGAAGAAGCGCGTAGCGAGTACGTTCCTCCCCTGACAATCTTATGTGCCGAGGCCCTGCCCCAGTCAAGTTTGGCTGGCCCCAGCCCCCATAGTCTTGAGTGATCGGTGCTTGAGTGGGCTGAGAAAAGCCACCAAGCGCCCTGCCTCGATGCTTTGCTGTCACCACCCACCTCACTCTGTATTTTGTCGGGCCCTTGGCTGGCGTCCTCTCGCCTTGGCCTGAACTGTCCTAGGATTCAAAAGGATGGCCGCACACTCTACCAAATTCTAAAAGTCGATCCCAACGACTCGGGAAGTCGGGTCAAGCAAGCATACCGACAGGTACGCCAAGCCCACTGCCTCCCTTGTGCGTTTTATTGTTTTATTTTGTTCTCTCGGGTACTCGGGCTGGATCGTCGCCCATTTCTTCTTGCTCGGCCTTTCTGCTTCCGCCTCCCTCCCTCTCTCCTCTCCTCTCTCCTCCTCCTTGGAAACGGGTGCCGTGACTCGGCCGACGCGGCCTCATCAAAAACTTTGCTTGGTTGCTGCGGCTAGCTGTGCCTCAAATTGCACCCCGATAAAACCAGCGAGGCCTCGGCCGAGCACGAGGTTTGTTCCTACCTCCAAACTAATAGACCCTAGCATTGTGCAGTCACGCTCACCTCTCCCCCTGTGCGCTACCAAGTTTCAACTCGTAGCCTGGGCCTACACCGTTCTCAAAGACCGTCATTCACGCAACATTTACGATGAGTATGTCCTACCTGCTGCCCCACTGGCTCAAGTGCTTCCAGAGCCCACATGCCACAGCCGAGCTTTGTGGGACGCTGGGAAGGTGTTACCGCCTGACCATCTTGCCGCGCTGCCTTTGTCAGGATGGGCCTGGAGGGTCTGGCCCTTGCCTCGCGCATCAACGCCGCTGATGATGCCGATCAAAAGGATAGTCATCCCGTCATCCAGGTGCGCTTGTGTTGTGCCCCTTTTCTGGCATAGCACCCGTGCCCAGACTTATGACGAGTACCCGCAATTGAACAATTCTGGTCTGCTTGCCCGCTTGCACGCTCTCATTCTTCATTTTTTTGCTCGGGGGGCTCGGCCTTGGCCTTGTATGCGCAGTGCCTCTACTATACCTTTGGGGCTTTGACGCTGTGCTACGGTTTTTGCTACTGTTGCTGCTTTTGCTGCCATTGCTGCGGAGGTCGGTGCACTGATCCAGGACGTGCTGTGCGCCCAACTTGCACAGTTGCCCCACCTCTTGGTGAGGGGCGTCATGTATTCTGCTTGTCGCTCAGTCACTTTCCGTCTGTTTGCAAACTGTGCTGCCCAGGTCGCTGCGATGGCTTGGCCCACCGTGTCCTCGGCGACAAATGGTTTGGCTTGTATCGCCAGGTAGGCCCGTGCATGGATCTCGCCTGCCAAGGCCCTTGTCCCTGAACCTTCCTCGTGCAGGTTGAGCCCTGACCTCTTGGTACTGTCTTTCCCAGGCCGTGTCGGAAGCACGCTTGTCCGAGGTCATGGATGATGGTGCGGCTCCCAACTATGAAGCCAGTCACCGCGGCCCGCGACTCTCCTCCACAACAAGCGATGCCTCCAACCCATCCTCAAACAAGGCCGCCACCGCCATGCCCAAGGTTGCAGGCCCCATTGTGGAGCAGCCCGCTCACATGTCCACCGAGAATGCCACCATCATTTGACCTGTCATGCTCCTAGAAGACGCGATTGAACTGCTGTTGATCCCTTTTTGCTTTTAGCGTTGCCATTGTGTGTCTTTCGTTTCTCTCTTCCTTTGAAATCTTATTTTTTCCTTTTTCTTCCCTTTTTTGTCATGCACGGGTCTGAAAGGCGCCTTTCCCTTCCTATCATGCAACAAGGGCCCTACCGCGCTCCGTGCCATGCTATCGTATTGCCGGCTTTTGGTCGTCCCGGCCCGGCCGTAATGGCCGTCCTTGCGCTTAGGGAAAAAGCAAAGGAACGCATTCACATGTCAAACAAAAGTACAACAACCACACATCACCGAGCGCTCCTCCTCTTCAAACGTCAACAAGACTGATCGCCCACGCTCAACTCCTCCCCCATCCCCTTGTCGTGCGTGTGACAGCTATACACCAATCAAGCGGACACAGAGAAAGAGAGGGAGAGCCCAAGCACACACACACACACACACACACACACACACACACAGCCCGAGCTGACAAAAGTACTTGCATGCATGCACCCTCAAAATCCGTTGCGAGCTGACATGTGAGAAAGCGAGAGGGGCGGTTGAGACAGCCCCTGCCCTTCGCCGCGTGTGATCACCCACCTCAACCCTCTCTTGATGAGAACCAGTTTGGACAGAAGCGAAACGGGAGCGGCGATCAATTTGTGGGTCCATACGTGGACTGCCTTCCCAACCTCGTGCCTCACTGCCGCGTGTCGTTGGCAGTGCATACCTGCTCACGCTCCATCTGTGGCATCCTCTCCGTCAACCAGGCGGCCCGAGGGTGCGCTCTTCTCGAGGCCTAGGCCAGCAGCCACCCCTGCGTCAGATGCAGTGCCGCCAGCGTGGCGTCAACCGAAGTGTGTGATCAGACCTTCGCGATCTTCTTGCGCCAACCTTTGGCTCTCCAAGACTGCGCCCTGCGCATCCGTCGCCAACTGAGTAGCTGCGCTTGGGGTTTGGTACAGGTGCGCCGCCGCACTTGCATCCTCATGTCTAGTTCAAGACATTGATCGGCCATTTTCTTTTCCTCTTCTCACTGGTCCAACCAATCATGACGTTAGAGGGCCTCAATCGCGCCAGCTTGACCAGCATTGGCAGTGCTGACAGCCGGCCTGGCACTGCCTCGCTTTTGAGTTCCAAACAGCAACACCCCAAAAACCACATATTGCGCCTCTCCATCACCATGGCTAACCTCACCACTCAAACCAAGACCTTGTGCGTCGACGACATTACCACCTTGGATGATGCCAAGGCGCAGCTCCGGCTGGCGCAGTCCCTCCTCGGCGAGCTCGAGTGCTCTTCCAAGCGCGCCCTGACCCACCAACTTCAACGCATCGCTTCTCTGGAGAAAGAGGTTTGTTATCCTTGCTCTGTGTTTCAGCTGCGTGTGCTTTTTCTGCATTGTGCCACGGATCCTGTCGTCCTGTATACTCATCAGACACGTCAACCTGGCCAATGCTTCTCCGTCCGTTGCCACCACTCTCTGATTGCCACACACGGGCTTTTTCTTGCCGGGCAGGTCGAACATTTGCGTCATGATCACGATTCTGGTGATTCGGCCTTTTCCACGCCATCGCCTGGCACGCATACACGCCATAGCAGCCGCAAGGCGCTCTTTGCCTCACCCTTTGTTGATGCCAGCGATGTCTCGGACGTCGAAGTTGTCCGACCAGCCCTGCGCTTCAACCTATCTCCGCTTCCCCGATCCGCTTCCCAGGTCTGCTCGGCCAATTGCTGCCTGGCTTTTTTTTTTTTTGGCTCTGTTGCTGGATCCTCGCACTTGGGCACTCACACATTTGGCTCTTTCTTATTGATGCAGTCTTCTGGGTCTCGTTTTTCCGAGAGCAGCGCCGTGCTTCTCTTGCAGGATGAAGTCGATGATTTGCGTACGCAGCTGGCCAGCACCAAGATTGAGGCGGCACAGGTAACTATGGCCTTTTATCCGTGACACGATAAGCCCTGTTGATTTGAGTACGGCTTGCTTAGTCTCACACAACCTCTCCACCTTCCTCCTTTGCCCAGCTTCACGAATCGCTGATCGAGCACAAGCAGCTTGTACAGCGACAAGACTCGCTTTTGCAAGTGGGTTTTTGCTCTCGTTCTCCGTCTACCCCTTTTGTACCCTTTTGTATGGCACATCCGCTTCCCCAATGCCAATCGGTGCATATCAGCTCGCTCACGTGTGTGCAATCATTTTCCAGGAGTACGCCCATCAGTTGCTGGCCAAGGCGCGGCAAGCGCCCGAGCCTATCTTGGAGGACCCATTTCCTGCAGCGTCGGCTGTAATCGAGAAGGATGACCCCACCATGCAGGGGACCGACCCCAATCCAACACCTGCCACTTTGCTCCAGCAGAGTTTGGATAAGAGCATGGACAAATCATTCAATCTGCAAGCCGTAGCCCCCGAGTCGCTGCTGCGCATCCGCGTCGACGTGGACCATTGCTCGCTGGACACGTACCGCAGCAACCCCACCCTCGTGGTCCACCTGCATCGAGTCACCGGCACACCATTGCCCAAGGCCTGGGCTGGCTTCAAGTTTGACAACAAAGACACCGCCACAATTCGAATGGAGTTGCGTCACCTCGAACAAACGCGTCAGGCGCTTCGCGAGGCCTACCCGCGCTGTGCGGTGCCTCCGCTTTTGGCCCGCCGCACGGATGGCGCCGTCATTGAGGCACAGGCCGTGGTTTGCTTTGCTTGCCAGCGCTTCTTGACTTGCGTTACCGAGCATCCAGTTTTGCGCACGCATCCTTCCGTGGTGCAGCTTCTGACGGGACGTCGTCCTCCCCGTAACAGCACCGTTCAGGATTGTGATCTCGAGCATCACGGTTTGGACGGCCTAAACACCAACTCGAGCCTGTTTACGCAGAGCACCGACTTTGGCGAGCTGCTGACCGACGTCCACTGCCTCTACGAGTCTCTGGCCAAGAGCGCTCACCAGTATGGGTTGAGCCAGCACGCCATGGCCCTCAAGCTGCTTCAGCTAGCCGACCATCCCTGGCTGCAGTCGAACGCAGATCTTTGCCGTACCCTGGCGCACCTGCACGCCAGTTCGGCCGATATCATTGTAAGTCATGTTCGACTCGATGGGTGATGCTACTTGGCTTGTCTCACTGTAATTTCGTGCCCTCGCTGTGTGCATCATTCAAAACAGCGAGAGCAGCAAGAGGACTTGGGCCTCCTCGATCACTGGCTTTTCAGCATGGTTTGCCACTTGCAGGACGCCTGTACCAACCCTGGCTGTTTACACGAGGAGCTCCAACGTGTGTCCCGCCACCTGATTTCCGAGCTTGGCATGCTAGTTCGCATCTACATGCAGTCGTACGCGGACCAAGCGCAGCAGCTCGAGGCGTGTGGGCGCCTCGCACACACCGTGCTAGACTCGTAAGACATGCGCCTCAAGTCTTTTAGCGTCCTTGGCACACCGGCACGATTCAGGATCGTGCCATCAAGCTCTGAGCCTCTGACTACGTGGCAGGCTTTGAACGTGAGTTGTGAATGTTATAATATTATGCGCAAAGCCCCTATGGGGCTGCATCGCAACGAGTGACGGCATCTGCCTGTTGAATTGATACCATACAAATGGAGCAGGATTGATGGTCGTATTAGATAATTATTCTCGAAAGATCATTTGATCAATCTTTGATGCACCTCGCACGCGCACATCCGTGCCTGCCCCGTGCCCAAAGCCCCTAGAACGGGCATCCCCGGTAGCGTGCTACCGTTCACGCAAAAGTGACATTTACAAATGAAAAGCGGTCAAATACAGACGTCGGCTCCATCAGCTCCAAGTCTTGATCGGGGGTGAGGGCCACGGAGGCCTTCAAGAAGGAGTCATCCACGTTAAAATCACTCTTGGCCGTGGGCACAAAGTGAGGCTTCACCTGCGCCAAAGCAGGATGCATCCAGCGTGAGCGCAGCCAAAAGATCAATACCCTCTGGCAAGGAGTCAGATGGGCGTACCTTTTGCTTTTCCACGGCTTTCCAATCCAGACCAGCAAAGAAGGGGTCGCGTTGCACCTCGGCCCGTGTTTTGCCCAGGCGCTTTGCCGGCACGCTTTGCAGGAGCTACAAGTTTTTCGTGGGCCAGACCACACCGCGCGAGGTCAAAGGGAATGACAGCAAAAATGAAAGGAGGGAAAACGCCAGAGGGAGGAGAGGGCAGCGACAACAAAGTGTGGAATGCTGAGGCGCAAACACCTACGCGCTTGATGAAGGTCATGCCCGCGGGAGAGATGGTGGAGGGAAATCGAACGCGGTTTCGCAAAATCTTGTTGTAAATTTCCTCATCGGTCTTGGCGCCAAAAGGCTCCTGTTGCACAAAGCCGTCACCCGGATATCCAGCGTCAGTATGGGCGCAAGGACAGGGATCTGTGGGTGGGGACCAATCAGACGTACGCGACCACTCAACAGCTCAAAAGCGAGCACACCCAGCGCCCACCAATCCACGGCCGTGGTATAGGGGCAATCCATGATAATCTCTGCCAACATCCAAAAAGAGTAAGTTGCTAGCGCCAAGGCGACGAGACACAGCAGTGCTGGAGCCTCGGGTGAGGGGGCTTGTGTGGAGTCACCGTGGCGGCACCGCACCTGGGGCGAGGTAAGTGGGAGTGCCGGCAAATGTCTTGGCATGACCATCTGGACCAGGTAGAAAGGCCACCATGCCCAAATCGCAGAGTTTGACGTGGCCGGCCTGTGTGAGCATGATGTTGTCCAGTTTCAAATCGCTGAAATAGGGCAGCAAAGGCCAACTTGGTGAGAGCTTGCCGACCGGACACGTTAGAAACGTGAGAAACAAGGATGGGCAATGCTCACCGGTAGATGATGTGCTGCTCGTGCAAGAACCAAAGGGCGAAGCAGATTTCAGCCAAGAGGAACTGTGCCGCGGGCTCGGTAAAGCGGCGCTGTCTGCGGTACGGTCAAGGAAGGTGACACACACGAAGATTCACGACGACTCAAGACCTAAGGGGTGTGAGGAGAGAGCAGCAGACGGGATTTACCGTTGAATGTGGTACATGAGGTCCCCACCATTGATGTACTCCATGGCAAAGCACAAGTGACTTGGTGTCTGGAAACAAGAGTGAATGTCAACGATAAAGGGTGGCTTGTTGTCAAGGGCAAGGGCCCGGCGCTCATTGAGAATGTAAATGTGCTCGTCGCCCTGCATGCCAGCCCGGATGAGATGAGCATGGACCAGGAGTTTGTGCGCAGGTCGAAGGCTTTGCAAGCCGATGCTGACAAAAACGGGGGCATGGCCAAGCAAGAGGCAAGACAAAGGCCGAGCGTACTCGGTAGGCCAGTGTCTTTTTGAGCATCTTGAGCGCCAAGAGTTGTTTGGTGACGCGGTCTTCCACCAAAACAACCTTGCCAAACGAGCCACGCTGACGGGTGTTGTGGGGCGGTGAGTTTGGAGGGGTGAAGAGCCAGGCCAAGCGAAAGGACGGGCGGGAGAGGCAGGCGGGAGAGGCAGGCAAGACCCATCACGTACACCCAGAACACACAGGGGTTTGAAGCCTTCAAAGGGGTTCTGGCGTGAAACGTGCGAGGGCCGGGACTCGCGACGGACTCGATCAGCGTCTTCAAGCTGCTTTTTGATGCTGTCAAGCTCGCTATCACTGAGCACAGCGCTGTTGGTAAACGCACCGCGAGACTCGTTGAGGAGATAATACCAGCTGCAACCATGCAGGGCGCTTGGGTGAGCTGGGCACGGGGGAAGCTTGCGTGCAGCAGCAAACTGGCGCGAAAAAAATGGGACAATGGACATGCAGTTGCCCACGTGGGCGAGGGAGACACCGCGCACCATTCAGGGCGGACTTCGCCGGCCAGGATCTTGTCAATGGCAAAGGAAACACCCCCCAAGAAGATGTTCTTTTTCTTGCCCTCGGTGGCGCTTTTGATGTAAACAAAGATGCGTTGCGTTTTACTGAGCTTGGCTGGAATTGGCCTAATTGCACAGGCTGAGTCAGGTGGCGTGGGGTGGAGGAGATGAAGGAGACCTTGTGGAGAACGTACATGTTGGCTGTCCAGTCAAAGCGTACGTTGCCGGTGGTAGAGACTAGATCTGAGGTTTTGAGAGATTTGGCCTTGAGACCTTGAACACACACCTGGGCAGGTTGAGGCGTGAGCGATGATTGGACGTGGTGGGGGAGCGTGTGGTGGGGCATGAAAGGCGCTACCTCTCGGCACGCTGACCTTGGCATAGCAGTCAAAGATCGTGAGGTTCTTGTCGTCGGCCTGGGAAAACTTGCCAACATTGGCGCACTCGAGGACGGTAACGCGGATGGAGTTGCTGTCCTTGTCCACCTGGAAGGCGAGCCTGATACGCCCACGCTCCTCGCCAAGGTCCATACCGCAGAGAGCTGGAATGGATTGACTGCAGCTGCGATGGGCATTGACGTGACACTCGGAGCACTGCACGCCTGCCATTTTCCGCCAACGGGGAGGAGGAAGGCCGGGGCTTGAGTTGGTAGGCCTCTACCGTGCTCAACTATTGTTAATGTGGGGGGCCTTACCTTGACGGAGGAGGCCGTAGAGCATTTGGCCGCAGTGTTGGCAAAAGGTCGGGGTGGTGTAGGACTTGACCTGAAACTTGTGAGGCCGTGATGCTTCCTGAATGCACAGGTTCCAGGCGAGAGCGAATGTGAGGATGAGTGGCCAGGCCGGCAAGAGCCGCTTGCGAGTCAGCGTCTCGGGAAGCATGGTTTGGCACAAACCTGGCCGAGTTCAATATCCAGACCAGCGCATGGGACGAGCAATTGAGCATGGCAACGCTCGTGCACAGCGAGGCCACAATCTACATTGCGCGAGAAAAAAGAAAACGTGCGCAGGCAAATGGCGGAGTGAGATCAGCGGTTGTCCAGCACAGAATAGCAGCAGCGCAGCAGCTCGAAAGCCCGGCACTGTGTCCCTACCGAGGCAGCGCAGGCCTTGCCGGGTGACACCCCTGCGGTGGCGTAGTTTGGCCAGGCAATGCGAATTCGGCATGCGTGAGATCGGCTAATGGCAAGCCCGATAAGAGAAAACACAGAGGTCTGGAGGGTATAATTTGGAGTCGTGCCGTGTCGGCAAGGGACCCATGTCTGTGATTATTGGCAAGGAGGAGAAGGCACATGCATTCTGAGGTGGCACCGGCATCGATCGTACCAAAGAAAGTCGGTGCAATGTGCACAGAAGGTGGGTTGCTTGAAAAAGAACCACACCAAAGAGTGACCGGCAATCTGCCATGGGGGTGGCGAGGAAGCGGGGGGATGAGCGCCATCGCGAGACATGTGCTTGTCTCCCTTCTCGCGTGGGCCGGCAGCTGGATCCTCCGGCCCGTACCTTGTAGAGCTTGGCACGACGCACGGCGCCAGCCCGATCAGGCTTGATCTCCATCTCCGAGTCCCCCATCTTGTCTGTCGCCTCAAAAGCAAGATCACACACATCCAAGATCAGACTACGGGGCGGCATCAGACCTCGGCAACCCCCATTACACATCTTCAGGGTCCCCCCCCTGCGCCCCCTGACCTTGACGATCTGAGAGAGAGAGAGAGAGAGAGAGAGAGAGAGAGAGAGAGAGAGAGAGAGAGAGAGAGAGAGAGAGAGAGAGAGAGAGAGAGAGAGAGAGAGAGAGAGAGAGAGAGAGAGAGAGAGAGAGAGAGAGAGAGAGAGAGAGAGAGAGGGT